GAAAGAAGTAGCGAAAGCGAAGCGAGAGAGAGAGAGAGAGAGAGAGAGAGGAGAGAGAGAGAGGAAGAGAGAGAGAGAGAGAGAGAGAGAGAGAGGAGGCTGTGTTCATGTATTGTGTGTATTTTGTGTGTGTGTGTGTGGTGTGTGTGTGTGGTGTGTGTGTTGGTGTGTTGTGTGTGTGTGAGAGAGAGAGAGAGAGAGAGAGAGAGAGTGTTGTGTGTGTGTGTGTGTATGCGCGCGCGTGTGCGTGTGTGCGTGTGCGTGTGCATGTTGCGTGTGCGTGTGTGTGTGTGTGTTGTGTGTGTGTGTGTGCGCGTGCGTGCGTGCTTGCGTGCGTGCGTGCGTGCGTGCGTGCGTGCGTGCGTCGTCGCGTGAGTGTGTGTGTGTGTGTGTGTGTATGTGTGTGTGTGTGTGTGTGTGTGTGTGTGTGTGTGTGTGTGTGTGTGTGTGTGTGTGGTGTGTGTGTGTGTGTGTGTGTGCGTGTGCGCGTATGTCGGCGCGTGTGTGTGCACGCGTGTTTGTCTGGATTCAGATGACTGATGAATGAGAGATAGATAGATAGATAGATAGATAGATAGATAGATAGATAGATAGATAGATAAATAGATAGATAGATAGATAGATAGATAGATAGATTGAATAGATAGATAGATATACATAGCTAGCTAGCTAGCTAGATAGTAGATAGATAGATAGGATAGATAGTATAGATAGATAGATAGAGATAGATAGATAGATAGATAGATAGATAGATAGATAGATAGATAGATAGATAGATAATAGATAGATAAATAGATAGATAGATAGATAGAATAGATAGATAGATAGATAGATAGATAGATAGATAGATAGCTTGCTAGATATATATATATATATATATATATATATATATTATATATATAAATATAGAGAATCCAATGGTTGTTTATGAACTCGTGTGTCGAGAGTGCTCAATACTACCATGAGTAGAGGCAAATATAGATTTAATAAAGTTACTACGGACACGGTAGAAATTTTGACTCTGTTTATTGCATACGGAACTGTTTCGTGTGGAGCGAAAGCTCCACACTCATCAGTTCCTAATACAGAGTGATCTATTTAGAACATCCGAGCAGTATAAAAACATCATGCTTAATGTGATCTATTGTTCGTATTCATGCGTGCGCGTTCTAAGAAATACCATAGATACCAGATACTAATTAGCACGTCATTGTCGGTGACTGCTGCGCGTTGGCGGCTAAACTGAATTCATCGTAAGAGTTCACATAACGTTCCTTAATAAAAATTTATCTTTATGTCTACATTTACTAACAAGTTCGTTTCTCTATTCAGTGTAGCGGTCTCAGGTTTGCACAATATTTAAAACTTCTCTGTTAAGGCATAGGTTGTACTTTCTGCGTAGTGTTCGAGTAGTGTGGCGCTTTGCTTCGAACACTACGAAGAAAATGCAACCTATGCTTAACAGAGAAGTTTTACATATTGTGCAAACCTGAGCCGCTACACTGAATAGAGAAACGAACTTGTTAGTAAATGTAGACATAAAGATAAATTTTTATTAAGGAACGTTATGTGAACTCTTACGATGAATTCAGTTTAGCGCCAACGCAGCAGTCACCGACACATGACGTGCTAATTAGTATCTGGTATCTATGGTATTTCTTTTAGAACGCGCACGCATGAATACGAACAATAGATCACATTATGCATGATGTTTTTATACTGCTCGGATGTTCTAAATAGATCACTCTGTATTAGGCCATAGATACTAACCAAGGGGATTGCTAACTCGCCGCATACAGGCGAAGTGACCGGTGGCGCGACCGAGGCTGATACGGCAGGTTAGTGAACTACAGTCGTAATGGCAGCATATAGCATATCGGATGTTTCGAAAGTAAACATTTGTTAAATATCACAAGATTTGCGACAGAAATAATAATATCAATTATTTCTGATATATAATTAATTGTATTTTGCATGACATTGCTTGTTTTATGCTAGTTCCTGACATAAATAATACATCTATATCTAAACGAAGTTAGTCATGCTTAGCAGCCTATATTGTATACAGTGTCAGTATACTAGTCTACTCTATACTCATAATCATATACATCCACTGGCGTAGCTAAAGGGGGCACAAGGGGGCCATGGCCCCCTGTTGATTGGCAAACAAAACAAAAATTTTTTTCCTTGCCTCTCACGCGTCTTCACAGGACTGGCCACAATTCCTGTTACTTCTGCATCTGCTGAACGAACATTCTCTAAAATGAGCATTGTCAAGTCTAAACTTCGTTCTACAATGACCCAGCCACGATTCTCTGCTCTCATTCTCCTTTTCGTTGAACAGGAGTTAGTGAATGACATTAATGTCAACGAAATCCTCAAAATGTTCTGTGCAAATCGACGAGAAGACTTGACTTTGATTTTGAGATTTCTGCAGCAGACAAAAACATGACTAAAAGAAAGGAGATAATTCTTCTTTGCTCAAATTTGTGTTTTGCAAGTTGGCTTTGATTGAATATTTATGTTCTGAACTCTTATTGACAGAAGAAAAGAAATGGAAATGCTTTGTGAATAACTTTGATATATTCGAACTTATAGACGGCCATTTTGGCATCCACCTCTCGGTTTTTATTTCAAATCCGATTTCAACACTATTTTAAGTAACGTTCTCTATCAGGGGAGGCAAAAACAATTCTTTCATGGTAAATTTCCTTTTATTTTAATAGAGCGGCTATTTTGGCAGCTACCTTTGTTTTTATTTGAAATCAAATTTCAATATGGTTTTTAGTTCTTCATCAGAGGAAAGCAAAAACATTTTTATAACGAACAAAATGTTAAATCTCTTCGTGCCCATCCGAGGACGGTTAACGTTTTCCGAACATTCCAAGAACATAACTCTCTCACCAAGTAAAACCAATAAATGCACAACGATATGGGAATGTTCTTAGAATATTTTTGGCTAATGTAACAAAACTAGAACCTCCAGCGAATGTTACGAGAATGTTCCGTGTTTGCTGGGTATTTACAATGGAGCCCAGCGCTCATCAATGTAGACTACCACAACAGAAAGTGAACAGGCGAAACAACAGCTATTGTTATGGGCAAAAGAAGTTCCCACACCGGGAATCGAACCCGGGCCACGGCGGTGAGAGCGCCGGATCCTAACCACTAGACCATATGGGATACTTGTGAAAATATTGTTGTAGTTAATATTTATTCCTTATAATATGTAACACAATTAATTGGATTTTGATAAAAAAAACTTCTTGCTTACAGTAACTTAACTTTGCTCTTCTCTTTCAATGCCCGTACAAGGAATTAAATGCTTTAAACGGTAAAATATGTATGAGTCGTGTAGAATTTTCCTTTAGCTTCGACAGGTGGCACGAGAGTCGGAGAGATAAAATGTCTGCACCCATGATCTTATCTCTTTTGCCTTACATCTCGTTGCCTTCGTCCTACTCCTAGTGCTAGTAGGCCAAGTTATGAAAATTTGGAAAGAATTAACGTTTTTCCGGAAAATAGGACTTTGCATAGTGATAGGGTCTGCAGTTTCATATTTCGTATCAAACGGGCGCAACATTGGTGATATGATGTTCAACACAAAGCCCCTACCCACTGACACTGTTGTTGAGAAAAAGGGCACGAAATGGGACATTTGACACAGTAAACAGTGAAAAGTCGGCACAGCCAACCATAGTTTGGAGCCCCGGCTCTCATTTTGGGAAATGTGTACATTTAGTGATAGTGTACATTCATAATATTGTGTATTTGGTTAATTATTTATGACACAACTTCATCATTTTATTTTGAAATATTGACGCAAATACCTTGGTTGGTGTATAGTATTAGTAGTTAGTACAACTACAAGTACGACTAGCAAGTTGTATTTGCTATACTATTCCTACGCTTCCGCAACATCGTCATCGGCAAAGATGTTGCAGATAAATCATGTTCAGCAAAGAATTTTGGTAACACTTGTATGTGTGTTGCTAATTATGGACTGCTGCTGCATTTTGGAGTGTCTTGAAAACTCACAGGCAAAGAGAGTTCTTTACCACTACCGGCGCTTCGATTACAGAAAGAAGAAACCACAGGTGAGTTTTCAATAAGACTGCATTCATGCATTAATTCACATTGAGTCTTCTATGGCTATACAAACGTTTTCGTACCCTGTGTGAGAAACAGGGTTGCCAAAGAAATCTCTAGTTTGTTGTAGAGCTATATCTGCCCTACGGCAAAGTAAACTAGAAAGAGGGCACTTGGAGAGTGCGAATCCTCCACACAGGCGATCGCTACACCTATGATATCAGAACGCTATTCTACAGCGCAGTGAAATAAATCTATATCAGAACACTGGCACACACAACACGCCTGGAAATACCGCCTGGAACCCCCGCCCCGTGTTAGCAATGGTACGGTCCTGCTATGACCCAGCGTTGATTCTATACTTATCCTGCGGACGAAGTGTAGCTCTATAGAGATCAGTGTTCGAAATATACTTAATGACCCTGTTACCTTGACTTTGGGTCAAGGTCCACTCAGAATTGATAAGGGTCTTACGCCCCATAAGATGCACCTGTGGGACCAAGTTTAAATCTCTACCCTCTTACGCCGTTTGCAAAGATATTGAGCAGACCGACACACACAGACACACACACATATGTACAAACGAACCAAAAACAATAGCTACACTTCGTGCGGAGGATAATTTACTCACCAGTGCTTGAGCTAGTGATTGTCTGGCAAAAGACAGGGTTCGTACGGGTCCTTAAAAACCATAGTCCTTAATTTTGAAAAATTGTAAATTTATGTACTTAAATAAGTCCTTTCATTTTCATGCAAAACATGTTAAAAAGTCAACTAAAAGTCTTTTAAAAATAATTTTCACTTGTTCCTAATTTCTTCCTAAAAATATTTTTGGCTCAGTTAAAGTTAGGCATTATTTGATTGGCTGAGTTGGCAAGTATCTTTTTAATTCCTGATGAATTGCTCCTTAAATGAAGGTCTCAAGGAACCCTAACCCCTAACCCTAAACCCTAACCCTAATCCCTGGCGTTTAGGGGCATTGTTGTATTATTCATAATTATGCTGCTTTCTTGTGTCAACAAAGTTATCAGCATGGCATGTGACTGGGCCCACCTATGGAGGTTCGAGAAAACGAATAAACATGGACTGGTTTCTGTTAACGCAAGGCTTTTGTCCTACTCATATATTTGTGTCTAATTAACGCCCACAAGATAAAACCTCCTGACTCAACCATGGTGGTCATGATCGTTAAAAGAGGACCGGAAAGACACTAGTAAATAGGACAGTGGTGATGCCCCAGTTTTCTCAGTTTGGCCCATGTTATGTTGGTTAGACAAGTCAATGCGGTATGGTAGTGCATGCTACACGCGCCAGTTAGCTCTCTGATCCTTACTGATTTTCGGCCGACTGAGCAGTGACTTTCTCTGACTATCTGTGGAACTTTACACACTGTTTGCCCTCCCGGCGGTAGTAGTTGACTACTGGCCACAGTTCCAAGTCCAACACCTGAGTCATTCGACTTTAGGAAGCCGGAGGGCTGGTCAAAATGGATCAGACGGTTTCGATAGCATTCAGACAAGTGTCTAGGGCCTCTCAGAAAAGGGAGAGAGGACCAGAACAAATAGACACCCCTCATCTACTCATGGGGATTGAAGCGAGAGGATATTCTAATTGTCACCTGAATCTAACGGAGGATGAGAACAAGAGTTACGAACTCACTAGAGCTAAACTGGATAGATATTTTGTACCGAAGAGGAATGTCATTTTGAAACGGGCCAAAATTCAAATCAACGTTTTCCAGAAGGAGGGTGAACCTGTGGAATTCGTTCAATCACCGATCTTTTCACTCTTGCGGAAACAGTGCGGACTTTCGGTAACACTGCATGACGAGTTAATCCCGGGATATGGATTTGTGGTAGACTTAAGCGCGGCAGATTGTCAGAGCGTCTGCAACTTTGAGCGCAGACTTGTCGCTTTAGACGCCATGGACAAGGGCTCGCCAGAGCGCAAACCATTCGCAGAGCAACAGGGCATTTCTGCGAGGGAGCGCCTCCCCCATTGCCGGCGGACGGTCGCCAAAGTCCAGAAACGACGAGGATGCTTCAATGGCGTCCCCAAATGTCCACCGCCTTACATCCGCCATTACAGTGCGTAGCAACAGTCGAAGCAGTTCTAGCCTAGAACAGCAGGCTGGGACGTCGTCGGTCCCAACTGTGGACAAACGCCCGCATGAGAAAAAAGCCGTGTCCGCCAAAAGGTGTAGAATGCGCCATTTTTGCAAAGAAAATTGGGCCCACTTCAAAATGTATTGCCGAATTCGCCAACATCAGTCAACGAGGTTGGTTGCGGCGCAGTTGAACCCCTCATTCCGCTTTCATTGGGAGCACTACAATTCTCAACCAGAGGGGGATCTTTCGCTGGCCCAAAGCCGAAGTAAAAGATAGCAGACTTCGTTCATCGTGTGGAAAATCGATACGGGTTTGCCAGTTACGTGTATTGCCATGAAAATGGTACTGGCGAACCGCTATGGAAATGTTGGGTCAGGCCTGCTAAGGTCCTAGTAGGAGCTGCTGGTTCAAAACTCGCGCTGTCGAGGATGTTTCGTGGAAAACTGATTGAGGAAAGGGTATCGTGCGCGGTCGCGAAACCGAACATCTACTTCCGTTCGCGACCTTGCGGAAACCACTTTCTTGGCGGATCAAGCCATCAGGAAAACTTAATCTCCGTGGTCGGTAGTCAGGTTCGTTCAAGGGCAAAAGCTACAAAGGTGGAAAATGTCATTTCCAGAAACTGGTTCTCGCTTGCGTAAGATTGAGGGTGACTATGAGATTAAAATATCGGAGGACAGTGCCGCAACCGTTACTCGATCTCACGGCCCCGCGTCGTTGTTTCCATATACCGCTGTACGAGAATGGTGAAGGAAGAGCCTCATTGCGCATGCGAGAGCATGGGAGTTATTTCCAAGTAACTGAGCCAACGATACTTGGCTGTGCTGGAATGGTTTGTGGTTCCAAACACCAACGGGAACTGTCAGGATCTGCGTAGACCTGACAAGTTGAATGAAAGTTGTTTAGAAAACGTGAGAAACACATATCTGACCGTCTGTGGACACGTCCCTAGGCGGTACTTAGTGGAGCAAAGGTGTTTTCGAAACTGCGATCGCCAACTCCGGTTTGGTGGCAGTTGGCCTCTAAGCAGGATGTTCTAGTCTGACCACGTTCATCACTCCATTCGGGGGGTTCTGTTTTAATAGACTCCCTTTACGGAATCTCATCGGCGCCTGGAGATATTCCAGCGCCGAATGCAGGACATTGCTAGAGGACTTAGATGGAGTTTTGATGCGTCATATGGATGATCCATTCTGCATCTTCGGAAAGGATCAAGGCGAACCGATGGAAGGAACTCACGCATGTTCTAAAGTGTCTGAGAGACGGCAGGTGTTACCCTGAATGAGCACAAGTGTGAGTTTTTCAGTCGATCTTCAAAGTCATAGTACCATAGGGTACTGTCAGTGCCGAAGGCATTGACGCAGACCACAACACCAGCGTCAAGGCTATTACAGGAGATGGAACGGCCAGGAAATCACGGCTTAGACGTTTCTAGGCATGCTAAACCAGTTTTGGGGAAATTCGTCCTAAACCTAGCGGACGCAGAGCGGAGCCTCTTTCGCTGTTACTCAGCGTGAAAAAATGCGTGGCTTTGAAGTCAAGCTTCAGGGAACGTTGCTTTCATGACGAACTGAAGGCATTCTTTCACGTGACTGGTATTCTGCGCTGTATTGATCCGAGCAGGAGACACGCTCGTCTCAAGCTGATTCGTCGTCGTTGGATTAGGAGCGGTTCATCAAGCCAGAAACGGATGCAATTGTGGTTGAAAACATCGCAGTACGCGTCACGTTCATTGTCTGATACGGAGAAACGGTACGCTGAGGTGGGAGAAGAAGCGCAGCCGGCAGCGTAGGGCTTGGCGATTAAGGTTCAAGAGTATCTGATTGGAAAAATTTTTACTCTAGAAACGGATCTGGCCGTTAGTGTTCGCTTCTTCGGCCATCAAAAGAGTGTGGATGAACTTCCCCGCACGAAGGTCCAACGCTTCAAACTCGTATGATGCGCTACCGATACAGTATTATACATGTATCCGGGGAAAAGAACTGTATACCGCAGACGCCCTTGTCGAGGGCGCCAGGATGTCTATTCAGCACGTCTGCAGGAACAGTAGAAACTCGCCGCAGGATGTCAAGTACGTGGGAGTTAATCGTGCAGGATGTCTGCCCGCCCCGAAAAAGTTCTAGCTGAAATTCGTCAGAAGGCAGTCCGAAGACGAAGTGTCTGCCAAATCGTCCAAATTACTGTCAGATGGTTGGGGGGCCTAGGACGATCAATACGGTCAATGGAGCTGTTGTACCGTTTTACCCCAGTAAGCAGGTGAACTGACCTGTTTTATGGACGGGTTTACTGATGAAGGGTACTAGAATAGTCATACCACAAGGCATGCGCTTAGAACTCTTGGATAGGATTCCAACGAAGGTCCACCAGGGGTAACTAGTTGTAGGCGTTCGTCACAGGAATCTGTGTGGTGGCCAGGGACTGAGTAACAGTTTTAGGAAACTCTAGTGCAAGGCTTAAATTCTGTGCCAAAAGAACGTGTTGTTCGCCATGAGCCGACACATACAACCGGTTTTCCCAAAACGTCCTTGGGCAGATCGTTCTTGGTTACAGACTTGTTCGAACTTGAACAGAAGTGTTTCACTACTTGTCAGTGAGTCGATTACTTCTCGTGCTATATAGGAGAACTCGCGAAGTTTGACGCAGGTTTATCATCGGAAGCCATAGTAGAGATCAACCATCTTGAAGTCGATCCTTTCGCGAGACATGGGTTCCAGACACGCGGTCAGTCGACAATGGACCACAGTCATTCCGCCAGAAGTGGAATTCGCAAGCTTCGCGGGATTACCTTACAACTTCACCGCTGCCACAAGTAGCCCGCTGTAATCCTTCAAGGCACAATTGCGGAGGTAGATCACGCGCGGTGCAAACGTGAAAGGATCCTGGTGAAAGAACGGCAAAGGACCCATAACTGTCGCACTGCGTAGCGTGACAGAGACCCACACTCTCTTCGCAACGACGGTACAGCCCGGCAGAAAATTGGCTGTTCGGGAGACGCGTACGTACCAAATTTCTGTCCGCATGCATCGAGCAACTAAAACTCCCGTTTCGGCGGATGATGGGACAACTCTCGGCATAAGACCGAACTTAGGGAGTACCGGCAAAAAGACGAGCGAAAACCGCGTGAGGCAGACGGTGGTGCGAGACAACTTCATTGAACTGAAGGATGGGAGACATGTGTGGAGTTCGTGAGTGTAAGAGACGTTCGCCGCTTAAGGTCATGCACAAAGCGGAGACACGCGATCGGTATGTTGTAGAGACTCAATCTGGGGTCGTCCCTGATGAGCGAAACCGCAGAAGCTTGGTGTCAAGCTTAGCCCAGATTATTGAGGCAGGATTTCGGTCGAAGAAACCGCCAGATCGCGAAAGTACATTCGTGAACAAACCCCGCAAGCAGATTGAGCGCAATCCCAATCCTGCGACTCGTTAGTTCAGTGAACAGGACATTCCCATCCGCGCGTGACTGAACTTTCAACTGCATTGAGCGACATTTCATCAGGGAAAGTAACTGACTGGGGGACAGCCTAAGCTATGCAGTAGTGACTAGGTCAGGCAGAGTTGTCCAAACGTGTGTTGTGAAGTCTAGGACTCGTGAACAATCGCTGTTTTAGCCAGATCAGGAGTTAATGTGAGAATTTAGTGTTTTAAAAAGATAGAGTGACGCGGGGGGTGTGTTTCTAACACTGATAAAGTGTTGATGCGTTAAATGGGTTACATGCATTCAATTGTGCAGTATCTTATATTTTAATCTTTTTGTCAGCGGAATGCATCTTTTGGTAATTATGGACTGTTATGGGGATCGATATCTGCAAAGAGCTGCATTATTAGTTTTATTTTTCAGTCTCAAAGGGATGTTGTATTATCATAATTTATCTGTTCTTTGTGTCAACAAAGTTATCAGCCTAGGCATGTGCTGCCACGCTATGGAGGTTGTGAGAAAACGAAATAACGATGGCTCGGATTTCTGTTAACGACAAGGCTTTTGTCCTATTCATTATTTTTGTGTCTAATTTAACGCACAAGATAACCTCCTGGACTCAACAGGCATCTCGCGCTGCAAAGGATATCTGGATTACCATTCAGGAAAGACTGTGTTAGCAAATATGAACCAAATAATAGTCTTGAGCGACAATTAAATTACCATGTAATGCAACGGGACTCTCCTCCGTGAGTTTCAATTAGCAGAATACAACAGTCGCTATCACTTCCAACAAACTGAAGTAGCTGGGAACTAGTCATATTGCAGAGCAATGTGTATGCTTATATAATCCATGAATAATTACAGTGCAGCTAATATACAGAAGCGGCCAAAAGGACGAGAAGCAATTGGGGCAAAAATAAAATTAGGACCAGTTTACTAGGACTTCATTTAAGGATGAAGGTCCTTAAAAGTTTAATAATATGGTCCATGAAAGTCCTTAAAAGTTCTTTAAATTAAGCGCATACAGATCCATTTATCTAACATCTTGAGTGGGAACACTGAAAGATGTATACATTTTTGAAAATATCTGATACCTTATACCTGAAAATATTACGGTAGATGTATAATATTAATAACATTACAATTTTATTCAGATAATAGATTATAGATCTTATATGAGCATTTTATTATAAAACATTGCCTATACATAATGATAGAAACATGGAGATTTAATTTTCACAATTTTCAGATGTCTGCTAATTTGGGCATTTTATGAATTTTGTAATTTGGGTGTTTTGCTAGGGGTCGTAATTTAGGCGCCGGTATTCAGTATGAAAAATGGCTTGGATTAGGCGCAGATCACTCGGGGTCACCAAACTCACAGCCATCTACAAAGTGGTCAAGGGGATAGTCTCGGCCCTCTTTTTCAATTTCGTGCTGTATGATTTGTTTATATATAAAGTTAAAAAATATTCGAGCATAATTGTTTTAATGTCTAATTGCAGGAGCAGTCCTTTAAGAAGTATTCTCGTGCCTGTGATCAGCGTGAGAAGTGTAGGCAACTTGTTGGTGCAGCACGGACAACATGTGGTCGGCAGTGCTTATCAGAGTACTGTTTCAATGAACTCTATGGGATAGATGAGGTAATTAAGCAAGTACTTGTGTATAACTGCATACAACATGTGTCTATTGAACTGGAACGTGGTCTTACCCATTAAGTGTTTGTTTAAATTGCTGATAGTTTCTTAATATTTGCATCCAATATGTGTCATGGTTGTTATTATTTTATGTGAATTAAAATCCTATTATAGTTTCCCCCAAATCATTCTCATCTTGCTGTGTCCAGTGTATGCCCCAGTTATAATTGCAGTATATTTGTTAGTGTTGTACTACGTATATATAGCAGACCTACGAGTACATAAAATTCAGTGTTACTGTTATCTATCGTCCATAAAACATCATCAAGATTAACCTTCTTCCAAAGCTAGTAATATAGCTGTATAAGAATAAGCTAATCACTGTATTAATGCAGTTTTTGTATTATCCCTGTCTTGCAGCTAGAAGATGGTGAGATTGACGTTAGGCTACACTCCTTCAAGGGATGCTTTTTTGAGGAGCAGTACAACATGACTAAGATAAAGAGAATTAATTGAGATAACATTGAAGACAAAAAATAGAGATTATATAATTTCAAAACATTGTACGTCAAATTAATGTTCATTTATTGTTCAATTTTGATGTGGGTATGTGGAGCCTTTTTTCATTGTGTTCCTAGTCATAATGTCAGCACATCCAAGTGAAATTACCTACATTTTTCATATTCTGTGTACTATGTTCTAGTAAATATTACCAAATATGTATGAATAGGAGGAAATATTCTAGCATTTTTATTGCAGCTAATGCCGTTTCTCTGCACTTCTGTATTTAACTCGTTAAAATAGCACTGTGGCAATGTGATACCTCCCTGGGCTAGGGGCATTAGGTGCAAGGATATTGGATTACCATCAGGAAAGCACGTTTGAGCAAATATGAACCAAATAATAGTCTTTGAGCGACAATTTAAATTACCATGTAACTGCCAAGGACTCTCCTCTGAGTTATTAGCAGAATACAACAGCGCTATCACTTCAACAACTGAAGTAGCTGGAATAGTCATATTGGCAGAGCAATTGTATGCTAATAATCCATGAATAATACAGTGCACTAATATACAGAGCGGCCAAAGGGACGAGAGCAATGGGAAAATAAATTAGATATTCACAAGGGAAGTGCTTCAGTGGTTTAAAGTAGTACTCACGTAAACCATCAAAAATATTTACTAAAATTCTACATCGTTTCGATACTGTAATTTAAAACAAATGCCGACACAGTTTGTTTCACTCGATAATGCATACAGTTTCGTTGATTCGGCCATGTGCTGTCTTCTGCTCGTCTGCTGCTTGCTGGCTTGCTTGCTTGCTTTGTTTCTTGATCGCTAAGTTTAGAGACACGCCACCAGGCTTGACATGAGAGTCACCTTCTCACTGCTTGTTTCCTCACACTTTGTTACCAGCCAGTAGAAATGCCGAAGTTCTGGAGCTTCTTACTTTACGTTGGCGTGCGCGAACATCGGAATGTTCGCAGTAATCTCACATATCGTGCTGCTACACATGATCGGTACACAGGCCTCGGACAGGACCACAATTACTATAATCGGTATCAATGCCGGTTTCTTCGTCTTTGCTCTTTTTCTCTTCTTCCTCCTACTCCTCCTCCTCTTCCTCCCCCTCTTCCTTCTCCTCCCCCCTAATATGTCTTCTTTTTTCATTGCCGTTCTACCTTGTTCTATATCGTATATTACCTTGCTGCTACTCCTGCAATACCCCAGCTACCGTTCTTGATAGTTACGATGCAGATGATTATGCGATAATGAGGTGCAGTAAATAATACACATAAAAAGAGCCAGATAAGTTTGAACTCTATAGGAATTTTTATATTGGTGACGACTTCGCGGTGGTGTTGGTCCTCGTGGTGGCGGTGGCGGGGGCGATGGCAGTGGCGGTGGTTCTTTATTACAGTAACATTCAGTTCCTTTAATTTTAATGCTGCCTCCTGCAAAATTACAGACCGATAGGTCCTTATGCATGACAAAGAAAGTGGTGGAAAAAGAATAATAATAATAAGAAGAAGAATTCGTGGAATAACAAACATTGCCATATACCGATGACCCCCTGGTAGCAGTGTAGCCAATGCGACGCGAGGGGAAATTTGACTCAATTGCCGCTGGATGGCGCCAGTTCCCGCTTGGAAGTCGGTACTGTGATTCTGTGCATTTATACGTTTATTCTATCATGAATCTATGGTTTATACACTAATAATAGCTTCTTTAATGCTAATCTAGCGTAAAGGAGAAAAATCAACTAAATGCCAACGTTCGCGGCAATTCTAAGAACGTGATTTGTTTTTGCGGGAAAGTAATTTACATATTTCTGTGATCATGACATCGATAAAACCTTTCACGTGTGATGATATGTTCCGTTTCAATAATGTGTAAGTCGTTCAATAATGCATGAGTACTACTACTACTGATAGGGTCTATGTCCCCCAGGGTACCGCCGGAACGTACCCTGGTACTAAATACTATCTAATATGCCGGACCGTACCTCGCCTACTCCACTAACGAGTTTAGGGAGTCGCCTACGCCTACTCCCTAACCTTAACCCTAACCATATCACTATCAGCAGGACAGGAGCGTATAAACTATAATGACAAAAGGAGTAAGACAACGATTTGGTACTGATTTCACTACTTTTTGTCGTACGAGTTCGATGTGAATAAAAATAGAAATGTATACAAACATGAGCTTCTTTTGTTCACTGGTACTTATTCTATCTTCCGGTAGTATTACAAACCGCGTAGCTTCCTTCGTTTTGACATAATTCGTACTTTTCGATGACATGGTTTTCACGTTAGTTACCGTCGTGTGGCGAGGCCACACTCTAAATTTGCACACACAGCTCTTCAATGAGCCACGGCAGGGATCGCGTCAGGCAGCGCCAGCGGCAACTGTACGCGGGCTAGAGATAACGGTTGCTATGCAATTAATGCAAAACACATTGACGCTCCAGCCGATTGTAGCTTTTCGCACGTTTACTGATAACGATTCATACACATCATTCCTCCGCGGGTGAAGTAGTTCAGATATTTTACCAGCGCAGCGTTTATTTAAAAAAAAAACTGCGGGATTAAACCATAAAAACAAGGCATTCTAACTATAGTTTAAATGTAAAATAGTTTTAATTTTTAAACCCAGCATGGGTGCAACGTAACTTAATTTGTAGGCGAATTTTCTGCACTCGACTAGGCTACGGCCGAAAAGCCCTACCGTGGCTCATTGAAGAGCTGTGTGTGCAAATTTAGAGTGTGGCCTCGCCAGAATACGGTAACTAAGGTGAAAACCATGTCGTCGAAAAGTAAGAATTATGTCAAAACGAAGGAAGCTACGCGGTTTGTAATACTACCGGAAGATAGAATAAGGACCAGTGAACAAAAGAAGCTCATGTTTGTATACATTTGTATTTTTATTCACATCGAACTCGTACGACAAAAATGTAGTGAAATCAGTACCAAATCGCTGTCTTACTCCTTTGTCATTACACGCTTCTGATATATAAATAAATATATATATATACCATGTGTATATATAGATATATATATCTAATATATATTTGAGTTCGTATGTATCTATGTATCTATGTATCTATGTATGTATGTATGTATGTATGTATCTTCCCTATAGGCGGCCAAACCGCCCAAGCGATCTGGATGCAATTTTCACAGGGCCATCTCTTATACCCGGGGAGTGTTCCTAGATGAAAAAAACCCGTCGAACCGTGAAACTCACCGAAAAATCAGTGAAAAACCCGTTAAATCGTCAATCTTCACACAATTCAGCACTCACTGCACAGTGCTGCCACAGACAGAAAAACCTATGACTATTTCTTGCCCTCACCTCATGATCTCATCAGCTGCTGGTATTGTGAAACCGAAACCGAAATCAATACTAAAACAGAGCATAACTAGGCATAGAAAATTTCTTCATTTCAATGTGCATGGTTGCGCGCCAAGCATTCACTAGACAATATACAGTGGACACAGACCCCACTCGCTGGAATTTCACACACTTCCCACAATATGGAATTTCTTTTATTCGTGGTACGATCTCACAATGGATAG